TTTCTAAGTGAGGGCACAAATATACATGGCTTCAGATATCACCTATAATTTCTCCCAAATCATATTATCTCCAACTCTACTATATAGTCACTCATTCAGCAAATACTTATTGAACACCCACTATGTGTGAAGCTCATTGACCACTCATTATCACCACTAGGATGTTATAAAGGTACTTCTCTATGACCAAAATACATTATGGGAACCTTTCTTCCAGAAAGGCAATTCAATCTGTATTTCCCAGCTTGATAAATGATAACATTAGCCACTTGGTCACCCAAGCCATAAACTTGGGATTCTTTTGAAATGTCTCTTTCTCCTTCACTACCCATCCTCACTCCCATGAATACCAAGCCCACATGTTGCTCATCATCAAGTCCAAACAGTTATACCCTCTAAATATCTCAAACCTATGCTTGCTTCTACAACTCTAGATTCTATCTTAGTGTAGACCTTCATCACAGTCTGATTCATTTGATCTTCTCCATACTGATGCCAGCATCAGACCTGCTTGATAAGCAAATTTCACCACTAGTTTTCTCCCTAAATGCTTCAGGGTTCCTCTTCATCCTCAGAATGAAGGTAAAGCCCCTTAGCCTGGCCACACCACTTTTCTGTACGATTCCTGCCTTGTCTTCTGCCACAGTGTAAGGGGCAGGACAGGGCACAAGGCAGGTTTTCTGATCCCATGCAGATCGGGTAAAGGAGGAGTCAGAGTCCTCAGTAGTTTTGCAGGTTTTTTATTTGGGGTTCACCAGGCATATGGCAGGCAGGGGTGCTGGCTGGGGGGCTGGGAGGCTGGCAGGCCTCCCAGCCCCCAGCAAGTCCTCACTCTATCTGGGCTCTCTAGCGTTCGTTCTGCTGCTTCTCGGCTTCGGCTGCGGCTGCTGCTGCTGCTGCTGCTGCTGCTGCTGGTGCTGCTGGCGTCCCCCCGTGACGCCGCCCTTAAAAGCACAGTCTTAGCTCAGCTGAATCCCATCTACCTATGCCCACACCCTATTCCAGGTGCCCACCATCAGGCATGCATTCAGGACAAGGATCCATCATCTATCCTGATGGCGGAAGGGCAGAAAAGCCTGATATTTTCTTTACCCTACACACAGTGTACCGTGTTTTTGGTTCATATGAAACAACTTGCTATCTCCCAGAGAACACACCTTTTCTGGCCTCATTGCCTCAGGGTATCTGCTTGAAAGCCCTTTGTCTTCCTTCTACACTACCATTCCTCTTTTAAAATGACAATAAAGCCTAGAACTTTGGGGCCAAGAAAACCTGACATCCAATCCCAGACGAGTTGTTTTTCCCCCTTAAATCTCAATTTTATCGTTAGGATTACTGTCAGAATCAAATCAGATATTTGTTGAATAAATGAATGAAATACATATACACTTGGCTCCCACTACCTGTTAGTAATGTTTTAGGAATTGCAAATGAAGCAGCGAACAAAACAGTTGAAGCCCCAACCCTAAGGGATCTTACAGTCTGTCTTGCATACCAAAAGATTACTACTACTATTCCTTGGAGAAACTTTGCAGACCTACTTCCCAATTTCCATTTTAAATTAAGTGCTCATCCTCTATGGTCCTATATCACTCTATGCCATTATTATATTATGTTGTATTATAATTGCCAGTATTTTTATCTTGACTAATCACAATCCAATGAATTCTTCAAGGGCAAAGTCCGGGACTTTTCTTCTTGTTTTACCAGTTTCTAGTACACAAGAAATTCAGCTCTAAATGTCAAGTGAATGAATGAACACTTGAAGGTATGCCTAAATTTTGTTTAAAAATATATGTGCAACTAAAGAGCATTTACTATATTCCAAACACTGTGTTAATGACTTTAAATATAATAGCTAATCTTCACATCAGCATTTAAAACCAGTAGTATTGTACCTACTTCACAGATGAGGACACTAAATCTCGGAAATGCAAAGTAGAAGAAGGTGCTGAAACCAAGCCAGGAACCCAGATCTGCTGATACTTAGAACCCCATCATTAATGATGTTTGGTGAGAGAAGCCATTTTTCTATGGCAGTTGGAAATGTAGGACAGTGGCCTGCAAGTATTTTATTTTAGGTTTACCTGTGTACATAAGACAAAGCCTTAATCTACACACAGATGTACACAGACATTTTAGCTAAGTTTTGGTTGTTTTTTTTTTCCTATAATCTATGGTCCTCTCTCTTTGAATGACTCCATTGTTGGGTTAGCTTTTCTGTCTTTTAGACATTCTGCCCTTTCCTCACCACTCTGCCTAACCATGCCAAACCAGTTGCTGAACTGGGGTTGCCACTTCATTTGGGGAGAGCAGTGTTACAGAACACCCTATAAGGCAGTCTTTCTCCAGACTCTCAACTGGAATATGAATCAGAAAAAAGTCCCTCCTATTGAGAATAAATCCATAATCTCTTTGTCATCTCCCTTTGACACCTGGAGATGGGAGACTCAGCCTTTTCCTACTTTCATCCCCTTCTTCCTATACTCTGTTAGGCCTGGAAGCATAGACAACCTCTCCCTCTTCCTGCCTTTTCTGTACTTTCTCTATTTCCTTGTATTCTCCTTCCCAAAGTGGAATTTGCCTTTCCCTTTCCCCTAAGGCTAAACTGGAGAATGGCTGCTAGGTAACCTGATTTATGGGGAGAGGGATGAAAACACATCTGTTTAATATTTTCAAATTATTACCCCTGCTACCCCTGCATCTCAGAAGGTAATCAAGGATCTCTGGAGCTCTCTGAGGCCCTTTACAGTAATGTTGCTCAGAGCAGTCCTAGAAGGAAGATTTACAAGGGTGCTTCAGATATCCCCTTCACCTGACTCACTAACCCCCTCCCACCCATCAACCCAAATTCTTGGCCATAATCTCCTCCTTCATGAGCAACCTGGAAACAGTGGGAGTATTCTCTCTGCAAAACTAGTTGGTATAATCAGTGAACTATACACTCAAGTTCTGACTAATTTAGTCCCATGATAATCCCAAATTATGTCTCACATACTAGTTCAATATGGGATCTTAGCAAAGTAAGCTGTATTAAAGAACCCAAAATGGGAAAGCATGCTCTGAAAACATTAAAGATTTGATTTGCAGACTGTGCCTTTAAATTTCAGACTGTCCCCAATGAAAAAGGGAAGCCTTCATGAAATGGAACAACTAGTAAGAAAATTGACATCTGTGGGTCAGTCAACAGAAATAGCAAGAGGAAGCATGGATCTTTGCAGAAGTGGCTATACTCTCATGCCCCTTTAGCTCATTGTGCAGCGTGAGGCTTGGTGTGTGTCTCTTAGACATTTATCTGTGTCTCTTATAAGTCTTGGGTCAGAATTGTATCTTTAATAAATGAACAAAAATTCTGCCTTAATTTGAGACATGGACAAAGGAATCAACTGTGAACTCACTAGAAAAGCTGAAAATGAAATTATTAAAATAAAGCCCAAAAAGAGAGTATAAATTAGGGGGGAGTTGCCCCTTTGTTTGAGATTATCATTACCATCTGGGTTGTAAACTATTGGATTCTAATTCCAGAAGCCTGATGCTAGAAATAACTTATTGCCAGGGAGATAAACTGAGAATTGTCAGGAACGACAGGGTTTTCGCTTGTTTTTAATATCCTTATCACAAATGATACAGCTGATAAACCATACAATAATGGGGCATGGAGGATCAGACAGTTTAGTACTTTCTGCTTCATGTATTTATGTTGTGTCTTCTACACCCCAATTCTCCTTCCCTTCCCACCCCATAAAAGGCCAGAGACACTTTTGATAAGCAGAGAATCCTTTAAATTATCTCCCTCTCTCTAGGGGGAAATACTGGCCACATCTGGGGTCTGTTAAGAATTATAATCTAATCTATAGGCTTTGCATAGTTCCAGCAGTTCTGCTCACAGCTACCTTTTCTCTGTAGTCATGTGGAGAATGCATATAAAGTACTTGGTTCTTACCTCAATCTATAATATTTATTGAGTTCACATTAAATACACATCACTACTGTCCAGTCCCATTGATGAAAGCATGTCATTTTGAAGCTCCAGCTCACCACCTCTTAGAGGTGTGACCTTGAGCAAGTTAATCTCACTAGTTTACTCATCTTTAAAATAGGAATGATTATCATGGTACCTGTTTCATAGCTGATGCATTTGAAATAGGCGTTGCAGTGATACAGAATAGCTTGAATGCTGAGAGCTTCCAAACACTAAATTGGGTGTTCATGAGTAAAATTCAAATGCAACTAAAATAAATGGCAACGAGTCAATGATGTGTATCAGGAGGCAGTATAAGAATTTGAATTGGTGGGTCTCGGGTAACCATATGTTCTAAAATGGTGGTTATCTATTTAAAAAACATCTCTGCAGATTCTTTTGTGCAGAAAATCTCTTGATTTGCTATCTTTAATTTTCACATTAAAGACTACATCCATTAGAAGGAAATAGAAGCTTCTGAAGTTTTCAGATGTGGGGCTGCTTCTGGGGAGGAGGCCGATGCTGTTTGGAGAACACTAGAAATTATAACTCCTTAATCTGATGTTTTCTGGAAGATCATAATATCTTAAGTTTTGGGTGCTTTTTTTTTTTTTTTTTTTTCTGAATGCGGACCAAGTTTAATTCAAATGGCGTGAGGACTTGGTATGAAGGAGTTAAAGGGTCCCCCCACACCCCTGTGCCTGAATCCTTCTTTTGTGTACACAGCTGCAGTTAGAGCACGGGTCGGAAAGGAAATGGTTAGAGGAAGAGCTGGTTTTCAGACAGGGCGAGTCTGCGAGGGGGGTGGGGGGTGGCCTGGGGTTTTACATGCCAGATGTAGGCCTGCCCTGTGCCTGCCTGGAGCTGCTGCTGGCTTGGTCAGCCGCGGCCCTGTGCGAATTGAGGCGAGGTGATGAGTTAGCGGGTTGCTATGGGGACGGGCCGGGCCATGTGACCGGGGTGCTGCTGCCGGCGCTTTGACGTCGGCGGCCAGGAGGGCGGGACGCAGGAGGGCGGGGCGGGAGCCGGGGCTGGAGAAGGGAGCGGGCGAGCGAGCGGGCGGCAGGCGCAGTCTGCGCGAGGAGCGGGCGAGCGGGAAGACGAGACGCAGCCACCTTCCTCCCCAGCCAGCGCGCAGCGGTTTGTCCCCTGCCACGGGAGTGCGCCAATGCCTGGCCCGACCCAAACCCTGTCCCCAAATGGAGAGAACAACAACGACATCATCCAAGATAACGGGACCATCATCCCTTTCCGGAAGCACACAGTGCGCGGGGAGCGTTCCTACAGGTAATGGGGCTGGCACCGGGAGCGGCCCGGGCGGGGACCTCGGCGGGGGCGCGCGGAAATCCGGCGCATTATATAATGGAGCAGCCGCTACCCCTGACCGGGCTGCAGACGTGCGTTTGTGAAGGCGGTTGTGATTATTGGGTATCTGTTTCCATGTGTCTCGTGGGGTGTGCATGGAGGCTTCACGATTGCAGATGGAAAGCATTTTGTGAATAGGTTTGCTGCCTGCAAGGGGTCCCCCTCCATCTCTTTCCTTCCACATTGATAAAAATGCATGCAATTTGCCTCCTCTCGCTAAAGGGAGACAGGCTGTAGCACTTCCTTTCCGCCTTCCCTTTTAGATTATAAAGGAACCATTAGGTAGCTGTGCCCAAAGGCTGAGAACTGGAGGATGGCGAGAAAAATGTTTGCGCTTGCCCTGGTGTGTGCAGGAAAGATGGAATCCTCTAGATTAAGCTGCAGTCTGTGATGTTAAACCGCCAGATTGATGGAGCTTTGTAAGAATTCTGCTCGCTGATTGGTGCAAGGATTGACAGCAGAGGTCACCGTGTCAGGCATTCACCAAAATTTTCACCATACAACCCAAGGTTTATTAGAAAGAGATTGGGCTGTGTTGAACGGGGAAAAAAATGGGTGCCTTTATGCATTTTATAGGAATTTATGGCCTCCGCATGGGTGGGGGAGCCCACCCTTCTTATTTATAGTAGGAAGGTAATTCCTGGTATTTTGCTGAGTCTGATTTGAGGATGGAACTGATCTTGGTGATTGTATTGTGAGCCTTTTGATTAATGAGTTGGCCTGTACAGTTGGCATCATTTTTACATTAGCATATCTGGCAATATGTTCTAGTAGATAAGCTCATTAAAATTGTTTGCATTGTTTGATAAGGATAACAATGTAATGGAGAATGCAGCTAGAGTCTAATGCAGTTGAACGCCAGACTTGAAGGGAGACTGATAGCTTTGCTCATATTTCCTCTGAAGTTCTTTTGTACCGGGTAGTTATTTTTAAATGTTACCTTGATAACTACTAACAATGCTTTTGCTGTAAAGCAGAGCACACATACCTCAAAAGCACATCCTCTCAGCTAGTGAGTAACAGGAAATAACTTTTTTTACCCTTCATCTAAGCATTCAGTATTCAGTATCTAAACATTGGTATTATAGATAGAATGTGCTGTGTGTATAAATGTTGCATAATAGGATAAAAAGAACCCTCACTTACCCTCTCATTGACCAAAGAAATGTACTATTTTATGTCTCAAAAAATACATGTATATGCATCATACACACACACGCACACACACACACACACACACACACACACAACCTTTGCCCTCTCATCTCTGGCAGTTATATAAATACTTGGAGTTAATTTTGGCAGTGCCCATGAGGTCACCAAAATCTCATGCCTTATGATTCCAACTAATATGTTGACATGGCATCCTTACAGATCCCAATGCTTGTTATTTACTTAATATAGACCAAAATTGGTCCATAACTTCTGGGACTCTCCTTTTGGAGACTGTTGTAATTGGAAAGTTCCTTACTCCTCCACCTTTCTCTGTGAACATTCCAGTCTAAAATAGAATTTAAAAATACAAACAAAAACTCAGAGTTACTTTTAAACCTCACTTATTTAAGTTCTTCTTAAAGGTAATAAATGTGAAACCCTCATTTGCTAAATGAGTTAATCCCTACCTTGTAGGTAGCAGTTGCTTTTAAGATGGAGTTCGAATTTTACCACATGGGCCAAAGGAAGTTACCCAGTTGGGTTTTATTACTCATATGAACTAACTTAAAATGGCAATGGAAAATGATTTGGCAGGAAGGTTAAATTGCTGCCTTTGGTGATAAATTATTGCTTTAAAAATAACATTTTGTTTACCGTTTTCATTCAATCCAAGTTGTTATTTTCATTTATTGAGTTATTCCCAGGTTACTTTCTGAATCCCTGTAATAGTCCCCCCCAAAAAACAAAAAAAACTGAATTTTATTAAACATCTAACCAAACAAATTCTTCACTAGGAGCATCAGTGCACTCCTATTTTGTATAACAGGATTATCCGACCTATAGTGACCAAAGTCATAGGTTAAATGAAGAAGAAAATCTCCAAAATTGCATTGTATTGTATTCTCAAAGCGTATACATGGAGACAGACACTCTGGATGTTTTCCTTGGTCTGCTTTCCTTTCAAAGTGGGTGACCAGTGTAGTGTCACTACCACTTATTTTGTGAAGGGACATAGGGGAAGGGAAAATGACACATTTCTCTATCCAGGAAGTGTTCCATAATTACCTTGGCATCCTGGGGCTGGAATAGATTGCCAGTCAGTTGCTCAGGAAAACTGGAAGACAGTTTCAAAGCTAGAATAGAAATTTAACCAAACACCAGCTTTGCTTTGGCTGTAGGTTCAGTATAGCTCTCAACAATGAGATGTGCCTGAGAGTTCTGTTCAAGCATTTTGGAGGGCCTGAGTAAGCCCAGAACCTGGGAAGTTCAGAGGGAAAGTTCTTCCTGGTTCCATCACTGACTTCTAAGATAGGCCCACAGCAAGTCCTTTTTGTTTGGATTTATTTTTCTACATTTGCTCCATGCATATAACAACATCTCATTGTGTTCCTATAAAGGTTTTATGAGGTTAATTTCAAGCATTTAAAACAAAAAAATTCTTAAAAGGAACACAACTGTGTAAATATAGGATGTTGTTACTGTGAAAAGGGACTCTCAGGACTCCCAGACTAGAACTCACCTGGCTAACAGCATAGGTGACAAGAAAGGACACCTGGAAAACAAGGCCTAGCTCTCTAGCCCTGTCAGTGAGCAGGCACACTCTTCCTAGCAGGAGACATTGTTATTGTACTATTTGCACCAGATTGTTTGTAAATAAGAATTAAATATGGTTCATGGGCCTCCCTGGTGGCGCAAGGGTTTGAGCACCACACTATGAAGCTATCCGCAGCCTCTGCAGCACGAGTTCGATCCCCTGCCTGCCAGGGAGCAACCCACATGGCACAGCAGACCTCTCCTGATTTGCCCGCTGCTCCCCTCGGCAGTGTACTTCGGTCAATCTGCCTGTTCTGTTCCCCACTGTCTCTGGTGAATCCTCTCATCCCCCGCATCTCTGGCCTGTGCCCCAGCTCTTGTATGCATAAATAAATAAATCTTTAAAAAAAAAAACATATGGTCATGACCCAGGTATCTTAACTCAGGTAGCTCTTAGCGTAAATGGAGCCTATTTTTATAGCCTGGATTAGAGTGGTTGGTAAATTATTATTGAAACCAGTGTGCACTTTGATTAAGAGAGTAAGTTTCCTTTAGAAAATTACCCTCTATTAGTAATTTCAGTTGAAAAGAGCAAGTGCAAAAATGATTCAGCAGAGCTGTATGGCCATGTTTCTGCAGCTGGTGGCCACAACTGTGATGGCCTGCTCAGCCCCAGCTTCCTCCTCGTGTTTGTGAGTACCAGAAATCTATAGATTTTAAGAGCTGCTTAAAAAATGAATGTGTCGTGGGCCATCTGAGGTGACACCTTTTAATTCACAGAGCGGACAAGTCGTGCTCTGGCTGTCCCTGGAGAGGCAACTCCCTACAGCTCCATTCCATGCAGATGCTAGTAGGAAATGAGATTTATTAACTGGCCCTCTGCCCACTGCATCTTTGTTTGCATACTCCAGGCTTTTGAGAATGAATGTATAAAGTCCAGGGGACTCTTTCCGCATGGGTATTTGAACTTGCAACTACAGTAGCATATGTTTCGGAGACTTAAAAAAAAATTACTTGGTCCCAGGAAATGGTCTATAAAGAAAGACAAAACTAAAATTTAAGCCAAAAGCATGGGCTCTGACATCCAACTTTGCCAATTTAAAAAACGGAATTCTTAAAGAAAAAAATACTGTGTTTGTATGTGTGTGCATGTGTGAAAAATAGTTCTATTAAATGTATCATTTAATAGAAGGTTTTGGAACATGGCTCACTTTTTAACAGAATGGGTTTCAGATTACATTCCCCAAAACAGTTTTACGTGTCATATTGGTTTCATCTTATAACTGTCATAAGAGGTTTTCAAAAATAGTGATATTTGTCTTTAATATTTTATTAGTATTAGTGAAAAATCAAAGGATGACTTGATGCTTTGATTGTTAGGCTTCCAATTTTGGAAATTCTTTTCAGGGTTCTTTATCAGAGCTTCTGTTAAGACGATGGTCTCCTGTATGTTCTTGCCTTTGAGGCTCCCCCCTGCTCAGCAGTGGTTATCACTGGTTTTATCTATTTACAGTGCATTGTCTTAGCAGAACAGTGGTTTGAGTCGGTCCTCTGAATTTAGGAGGTTAATTTCCATATATGCCCTGTGTTTTCTATATTTATAGGGATCTCTTGAAGCTGCCACAAATAATCCCCTTTTTAATGGAAGGAGAAATAAACTGAAATACTCTACTTGGTTTGGAGAATTAATTCAACAAATATTTGTGAATCTAGTCAGATCACGGTGTCTGCTGGATGCCCCTTCAAAGCTGTTGAGTTCTAGGGAAGTCAGATATGTAAGCAGTTGATTTTGCAGCAGATTTATCTTGTGAATATAGACTTGGTATGAGAACATAAGTGGTTTGCATTTCCTAAGCCCACAGGGACTCAGTGTAGAAAAAAATAGCTTCAAGGCCAAAATACTGGAGGAAACTAAAAGGTACTGTGGAAGACCAAAATTTTTGGTGAAAAGAGTATATAGGCTTTGGAATCAAAAATTTCATGGCTCTGGCAAGATACATGCTGGGCAGTGGTGGAAAGGGCAGCAACCTTGAAAGGCAAGCAGGACAGTCAGAAATGGAAAGCTGTTGAAAGCTCATTCATTGAAAAGCAGCATAATGAAAGCAAAAGTGCCTGCTGGAATTATCTCCTGTTTTGAAATAAGAGTTGAAAGGAAAGTGGAGTCTTCCAGTGCCACATGCCACAGGGTCCAGAAATACTGGAGAATCCTTATTTCCAGGTGAGAGAACTCTCAG